CCCCCCCCCTACCACCCAACTGCAGGGCTTTTGTGCAGGTAAAAAGGGGCAATAACACTATGTGGCTTTTTGCTTTGCAGGAGGAAAAAGAGTAACTACTTTGGTTTTTCCAGCCAATGTCCATCCAGAGACAAATGCCACTGTCTTTTTCATTTTATTTGGATGTCCTTCTACCTCCCCTTCCCATCCCCTTCCCTTCCCCCTCCTCTCACCTCCTGAGTGCGCTTTTCAAATGACGACTAATGCCTCAGTTCATACACCACAGGCGACTGATGATGATTATTGCAGCGGGGACAGAGGCTCTGCTTAGGTGTGATGGTGTATATTTTTCTCGGGGGTGGGCGGGGATATCTCTTATTTAAAAGACCAAGGCACAGTCATGGAACAACCTCAAACCCTCCCTCAGAAGGATGGCTGCTGGCTCCCTGTGGAAGAACCCGTCTCGCCCCCCTGCCTCCCTTTTCCCTTTCCTTTTTTTTTTTTTACCTCCCTCTCCCCCCCTCCACCACCACCACCCGACTTCTTCAGCCTCTCATCTCCCGTCTTCGACATCCAGCCATTCTGTCTTATCTGTCTCATCTTGTTTGTTTTGCTGTCTCACTAAACGCTGACTGTTTGTCGTGATTTCTAATCCAACCGACTGACTTCTGCACACACACACACACACACACACACACACACACACACACGGAGCGTTATCATTGAGCTACCATGACTGGCAGAAGCAAACAGCCTCCATCCATCTTAATGTAGGCTACTTTTCATATTGTTGATGTCCGTATCCGCGGGGAGCGAGACACACTAGCGGGGGTATGAATTCTGCGGGGCTTTGATTCCATTTATTTTGCCCTTGAGTGGATTATTGTTTCACATGGGACATTAAACATGGGTGGCGAGGTGTTATTTAACGCTCCCGTGGCTTCCCGAGGGGACCCTGCATGTGAACTAATCTCGGCCATTTGATCCCGGTGAAGTCACCGGCGTGGCCCACTTCTTCCTCGCCACCGCAACATCTCAGGCTCCGCGTTACGGAGGGGGATATCGTATTCTATTTAATTTGCTCATCCAAGCACTCCCTGGCACGCTTCTTGCATCGTGCCAGCAGGAGCGGACACGCCGCTTTGATATCCAACACGGCGGCGGCGGGGATGGCGGGCGGGCGGGCGGGCGGGCTCACGGCTCATGCTTTACATTCCGTCATGTGTCGGCGTCTGAACTGTGCCATCACTTTCTTTCTCTCTGTTCCCTGACGCCTCATATGTAACCCTGCCATGTATGCATGTTTCCCCCTCCAAGACTATGCATACATGAACCCACACATGTGGAAATAAAAAGCATGAAACAAAGCAATAACTTTTGTTTGCCTAAGGACATTTTGTTTCAGATGCAGCACTATAGTTGCAAATCTGCTATAGCCCCATAGAACAGTAGAGCAAACCATCCAAAGTTTTTTGTCCCTTTTCACTTTTGTTATCTTATTGTGTAATGATTCTCTTATTTTCTCCCCACTCTCGTACTGGCCCAGGTGTGTTTAGGTGTTGTTGTGTGTAGCATACGTGTATTTGTGTCCCTGTCCTCTTTTTTTTTTTTTTTTTCTTTAAGTTTCATTTCTTCACATTTCCTCTCAGAATGCCCCCTAACTCGCCCTCTCTCTGCCGTGATTGGTTGATCAGGTCGTCGGGGGAGACGAGGAGCGGCGAGATGCTGGAGCTGAACATGAGCAACATCGGCGCCGACGTCTTGGAGCTGCTGCTCGAGTTCGTCTACACGGGATCGCTGGTCATCGACTCGGCCAACGCCAAGACGCTGCTGGAGGCCGCCAACAAGTTCCAGTTCAACACCTTCTGCAAAGTCTGCGTCTCCTTTCTCGGTAGGAACGGCTCGGAAAGCGTTTGCACGGCTGTATATGCTTGTATCAGCAAAGTGTGCTCATTACATCAGATGCTCAACCTTTTCTTGCAGCATCGACAGCCTAACGCGCGGTCATGCTTCATCACTATGCCGTACAGAATGCGTTGTGCCGATCCTACATTTCCCTCTCAGACTCTGGCACGTCGCTTTTTTTTGTCATGTTTCCAAAGCTAGCAGCCGTGTTAGGATTCTGCCTCGCTCACAGTTGGGCACGGTGCCTCTGATCTCGTCCCGGTGGGCAGGATGAAGCACGGGGGCAGATTTATAAAAAGGTCAGGGAACAATTGTCACTTAAATGTCAAATCCTCTGGCCTGAACCGTGATGGAATCAAAAAATAGCAAAACAGATTGATACTTAGACAAGGTATGGAAAGAGGAGCATGGGAGGGGGGAGTGTTTTTTTTTTCAGCAACCCATGGGGGGGGGTTACATGAAAAGCAAATGGCATGTTCCATATTTTACTGGGTCACGCAACCAAAAAGCTGCAAATGTCAGGTTTTGCATTCCATTTAATAAATTGTTTTGGGTATTGGTAACACAAGGGAAGTGCATGTTAGCAAAAAGGTCAACAGCAGGAAAGGAAGTGGGAAAAAGAAAGTAAAAAGAGGAACCGGCGGTTATTGATTTGTTTTTCTCAATTCAGGAAAAAGAAGACGAAGAAAAAAAAAGGGGCAAAACAGAGAAGCCATTTGTAGACTTCATTGCCAGTGAGACGTCAATCCATTCTTCCCCGACAAGATTCATGACATTTCGGCACATTAGAAGGGGGGAGAAATGGAGGCGCAAGCGTGTGTCCTTGAGCGAAGAGAAATTGATACTGTGTCAGAAATTATTGAAGTTTGTAACAAATACACTGAGGGAGAAATTGCAAACATCTCCGCGACCTACTTATACCACTTTGACTTTTATTCACACAACTTCACAACTCGCTCAGCTGCTGCTTTTATGAGAAATCCTGACTTTTTTTTAAAACATGTATATTATTGGAGGATCAAAGGTGAATTAGCGACGTACTTCAGCTGCTTGGCCCCATCGTACGAGAGATTTTCAAATATTTCCACATTGTCACACTCTTGCTCAATACACGCCGACCTGACTGCGTCGCATTGAAGAAGCTGATAAAAGGATTGCGTACGGATAATGCGAGCATCCTCTGTGACATAACTCCTCGTCTGCTTAAACGCCTTTAATAAAGGGATCTGCTCCGACGGGCTTTTTCTCCCAGCCCCCTTACTTTGATGCGGCATCAATCCTGCCTTTTATTCGGTATTTGGTTTGGCTTTTGTTCAGTTGGGATTCACCAGATGTTAAGCGACCTTTTATCGGCTGGTATTTGTTTAGGAAACACTCCCCGACTCTGTCTTCGCCGATAAAAAAAAAAAAAGGGCCTGGCGTCGCTTCCCCCTTTGATGGCTATTGTTTAATCAGGCGTCTTTCGGCGGGACGCTGACCCATTTGATCCGTGCGTTTGCCCGCTTTGCTGACACATTTTCCTCTCATGATGAATGGCGATGTTAAAAAAACTACACTCGCCGACGCGCTGCCGCCTTTAAACGCTGCCCCCTTTGCGAAAAGATCACAGATGGTAGCATAAGCCTTCTTCCCCACTAGGCTGGCCATCAGGGTAGCTTCATATATCCTTAGCCCCTATGTGTGTGTCTGTATATATATGTGTGTGTGTGTAGTAGATCCTGAGATCTGACAGGACTTCTTTAAAGTGGCCCAGCTAATCCCAAATCCCGCTCCCCTCATGCCTGGGCTGTGAGCGATCGATTCCCCTCGTTGTTTGTCCCCGGGGCTGTTTTGAGTTATTATACTTGTTCTGCCTCAGTCTCAGGCAGATACACAGCCCAGTAGGCAATGAGTCTGTGAGCTACCTGCAGGAACTCTCTCTGCTGCCTCTGTTGCTTTCTGTGATCTTTTTACGGCTGTCTGAATGGAGTTTTTTCTTCCCCGCCCCCCCTCCATCCTTGTCTTAATCAATCTGCCCGTGTCTTTTGTTTCTCACTTGATTTTCTTTCCGTCTTTACTGATGCAGAGAAACAGTTGACGGCGGCGAACTGTCTGGGAGTGCTGGCGATGGCCGAAGCCATGACCTGCACCGAGCTCCACAACATGGCCAAAGCGTTTGCGCTGCAGAACTTCCCCGAGGTAGGTGGAGACGCTTCAGCTGTTTTGATTCTTGTGGAGCACAAGTAATGGCAAATGATAATCACCATAATACCCAATCAGAGTAAATGACCTGTTTTGTGGGACTGCATACAATACAATGTGGAATATTGTCCTTTTCTACGACACTATGACTGAACTCTTACATGTAAATATACTCCCCACGGATTCCTCCCCACGCTACATCGATTAACATAAACATATAGACAGGTGACAAATTCAAGAAAACACCTGAACCCTTGACCCCTACAGTGAGAGGCTCTGGTGTTTTACTGCTATGGTTTGTGTCCACTTTTCCCTTTACAACGAAGGGTCACTGCAGATCAATACAAATTTGTTCTGGGCGATGACCTTTATCCTGTGATGAAACATTTCTATCATAATGGGTCTCGTCCAGGATGACAAAGCTCCAGTCCATTCGGTCGACTGAATGGTTTGATGAAAAGGATGTGAATCATAAACCATGACCTTAACAGTCGTCGGATCTCAGCCGTAAACTGAAAATGAATAAATGGACGTAGCGTACAAGCGCCTGAAGCCTGCGTTCTTTTCAACAGCCACCAGGGGGCGACTCTTCTGGTTGCAAAAAGAGGTTTGATTGTATAGAAATGTATGGGAAAGCTTCTCAGTTGATTTGTTACCTCAGCAAATATTTATATATAGGGACGGCCATCTGCCTCGACCGGTTGGGTGGATGTAGAATGAATTATAAAATTTAGTTTACAGTTAAACAAGTTATTAGAAGTTATTGTTCCAGCCATCCATCCTCATGAGGGTCATGGGGGGCTGGAGTCTATCCCAGCCGATTTAGGGCGAAGGCAGGGGACACCCTGGACAGGTCGCCAGTCCATCGCAGGGCACAGTGTAATGTTCATTTTGTAAATTACAGTCCCATTCAGACTAAAATAGACAATAAAGCAGAATCTGCTTCAAGCCGGGTTACCTTGTGTATGCATAGTGTCCTCAAGTTCTCCGTCAGATCCACCGCTTGCTCTTTATTTCTGGTTCCAAAAGACAAAGATGGCAGCGGTCTGTCCTTAAACCAGTGGGTGACGTCACGGTGGCTGCGTCCGTCTTTCCTGTAAAGCTGATCTGATCTCAACCCAACGATGGGAGATTTGGGACTAACATGTTCTGTCATGATCAAAACACCCAAAAATGGGGTTCATCCCTCCTGTAGAGATTCAGAGACTTACCGAGACACTTTATATTAGATTTTTCAGCCATTTTCCACTCGTCTGTATTTGCAGGAGTCTTTGTAGGATCCGGGGAGCCGTAATCTTTCCAATATAGCATTTCTTTTATTTCTTTCATTTCTATATGTCATGTTGGCAGTCACAAACACCGCTGTGAGTCAGGTCCGACAGCAGTTCGATGGCAGAAGTTACAGGACTACACATGGCGGATAAAAATACATTTTTTTTAGATGGACCAAATTCTTCAATTTTTTCCGAGTTCAAAGGCCCACTGTTCTGTTTCTGAATCATCTCGAGGCTGACACCATATCGTCTGACCCTGTTCAGTACTTACATTAAAATGTTTCTCACAGGTTAAAGACTCGCCTCACAGCATGCGGCTCACTGAAGGAGCACAATGTACCGTGCCATGTCCAGGGCACTTGCACACCAAACTTGGCACAGAGCAGCTTTGAGATAACTTAATGGAAAAGTGTTTTTTGAAATATACCAACAAACTCAAGGATACCTCCGATCTCTCTTCTTTTTTTTTTTTTGCAACTTGAGCAAAGGGTGAATCACACAAAATCTCACAGGATAGAAAATAAAAAAAAACATATTTTCATTCCATTGAAAGCGTTTTGCTTTTCTGACCTCAGCTTTTTTTCTTTTTTTTGCCACCAAAGATGAAAACACAGATAGTCTTAACCTTCACCTGTGACTCTGGGTATGACAATTCATCAAGAACCGCTGATTTTTTATTTTTGAAATACGCTTTTTCACTCTACTTGTTGAGAGTTATTGTAGATGAGAAGGTCGATAATTTCTCAGGTTCATTCAGCTGAAAAAGTTTAATTTGGGTCAGAATGATTTGGAAATCCCACGTTTGCCATCCAGGATCAGGGAATCCACCTTCCTGTTGTGCAGGATTGCATCACGCTGATCCAGATAAAGACTTTTCAAGATTACTATTCAAGATTAACGCTGTTCTAAATGTGAGTACGTATCACAATGTTTTCTACTAACAGGTCGAATATCCAGCCTTGGGCCACGATGAGGGTTTTTTATATAAAAAGGCAGAAAAAAAGGACAATAAACCAACGCAAACTATCGCTTCCACTTTCAGTTTCTTTTAACCGTTAGACCCTTCATCTGACCCACAACAAATAAATGCTAATGCGCAAATCTAATTTATTCACAGATATTTTGAATACGTGTTTTAAATCATAATAAAAAGACTAAGTGTCCAATAGTTCAAAAGATTAAAAAACAAAAACAAAAAACATTCAAAGTTGTTAATTTGTACTAAAACCGTTTTTTAAAGGTTGGCTTTTAAAAGTCACACCATGATTTTGTGAGTTTAATTAATATACAGTGATAAATGACACTCGCAAATAAATAAAATATGTTGTTTTATTATTTATTGGGATATTTTTTTCTTACTTTAAAAAGCCTAATAGGAAGTCTGATGTCTACTTTATCACTCTAACAGTTAAACAAATCAAGTGCAAAATATAAATACCGTAAACCTACAACATGATACCAATTTATTATTTGACTAGTTTAAAAGTTTTATTATATTTTCTTCCTGAAATTTACTCTGAGTCCAACTTTCTGACAGGACATTTTGCAGTTTGCAGTTACTAAAAGTTCCCCTACGGAAGGTTTGATTCAAATTTAAGCGTATATTACGTGATATTTATTCTGATTTCAGCATCCTTTTTTCTCTTTTACAGCCCATTTGATCCAATCTAAAGAGATCAGATTACTTTCTACCAGCTGGGCCCAGGAGATAGTTAGCTTAGCTTAGCTTTACATAAAATATAGAACAAAAGATTCCATCTTTCATTATCTTTGCTGTGAAGCTTTTAGGACAGATGGACTCCAGGAGGTCAACATGCCTGATTCGTAAGAAATGCACTTTTTAATTAAAATCACTTCCTAGTTACTGCATAGAACACTGCGTTTGTTTCTGAGTCTGCAAGTAGTGGAATAAAAGTGTATTGTTCTTGGTATGTACACTGGCTTCTGCTAACAAAACAACAATCTGAAGTCAGAATTGACTGTTCAGTGTTTAGTGTTCTACCTGTCTGCTTTTATATATTAAACAATAGAGAGAATCCTATATAGTGTTTCAGATGAAGGCTGCATACGAGCTGAGCTATTGTTCATGAAAGAGAATCGCACCAGTAATGAAACCAAGAATAATGGGAACTCAAAGCGAGGTGACCATGATGTGAACTTGTTGGTAGTGTTTTTTTTTCTTTCAGTGCGTACATGAGAGAAAAGCGCTTTTCTTTTCTTAAAGCCGATGGTTATATCATACGCTTGGCAGACACAGATGAGATGTTTTGAACTGCGAGTCCAGTCGTCTAAAAGTCAAATATGACAAATATGCCGGTTGATCTCTGTGGACATTCCAAAGTTTCTTTTAGATTAGGTTCTAGAAAGTTTACAAAGTTCGCCTCAGCTCATAAATATGTTTTGGTCAGTTTTACTCCATTTGGATGTTTGAGCATCACCGTACAGAATAATGTACAGACGGGTGACAAATTAAAGCAAAAACCAACATCTAGTGTCGCTTCAGCATTTCTTAGCATTGTTTCTCCAACTGTATGGAACTCTACTGGGGGGATGAACGCCATTCAAAAGGTATCTCCTCATTTTGGTGTTTCGATGATGTTGGATAGAGATGATCACTCAGAACAACTTTGTATTGATTTGCATTGACCCAAACCCACCAACCAAATGCTCCCGACAGCATAACAGTCACCAGATCCCCTCAGTGTAGAGGTCAAGGGTTCAGGTTTTTTTTATAATTTGCCATTCACCTGCATGTTCAGAGTTTGGCACTAGAAGTCCATGCTCAGATTTATTTTTGCTTAAATTGAAATGTTTCTTGGACATCATGAAAACCATATCAGACATGTTTTTTTTTTTTTTAAATTATTTGCTGTTTTTTAGGTGGCAGGTCAGGAAGAGATTTTGAGTGTCTCCAAGGAGGACCTGGTGGCTTACCTGTCCAACGACAGCCTCAACACAAAGGCGGAGGAGCTGGTTTATGAGACGGTCATCAAATGGATCAAACAAGACCCCAACTCCAGAGTGCAGGTAGGAGGTTATAAAATGTAACGAAAATTTCACCCAAAATGGTTGAATTGCTGATTATCGACTTGTTAATAGACACTACAATTTAATGATGTACCCAAAACACCTGACTCACAGCTGCTAGGCGATGCACCATGAGGCCTCTAGTCTCCACTCAGGTACTGCAACAACTCAGATTACTTTGACAAGAGACCAATAAAATATTAAGTTGAAATCAAGTGATTTGGTCTACATGCGTTGTTTTCTATGAGCAGAGCATCTTAAACATCAATACTGCAGCTGATCGTGTCGCCAAAATCTTGCTTAACATTCTATTAATTGTGCAGCCTGAGCTACAGTGCACATACTGTCTGTGCATCATGAGACAAAAACAGCGAGATAAAGCTCTTGTTACCACTGACAGCACACATTCTGTATGTCTGCAGAGTCGTATTAGAGCGGTTGTTCTATCGACCCTCCCTGTCTTCTCCCAGAGAGTACACAGCATGAAAAAAAACCCGACAAGTGACTCCTCGTTCTCTCTTGGTAGTGTTCATCAACTTTGTGCTTCACATGCAGCCTAACACAGCAGTTGTTCATAATCCCAGGAGTGCTTTGCCCTCAGAATGTGCTCTATTCTTAGTTACACTTCATTTGTTTGTGAGACACTGTACTGCATGAAAAACCAACAAAAACACAGACAGCCGCGACCCTTTTCTTTTTCCCTCTCAGCGCCTAACAGGTGTTTGATTTATTCCTCGAGGCTGTTAATCATAATCAAAGGTTATATCCCCGAGATAGATATTGACAATGAGGTACAGAGGGTCAAATTTTAACAGGCGCCGAATCGATAAGCCTCAAGGTCAGAGCGTCAACTCCAGCCCACGTTCATGAAAAGGTAAATGGACTGCGCCGTGGACAGATACCCATCCAGCAGCGAGGTGGGGAGGAAAAAAAAAAAAAAAAGCCTCAGCTGGTGTGATATTTATGGGTTCCGTCACAAAAGCCATGAATTTAAAGCTGATGATTTTCAAGTATTTTATGGCTGTTTTAAAACTGAGGTAAGATTATTATCAGACAAATTGCACCAGTCCATCACTGCAGGAATCATTCCCTCAAAGTAATGTCTTCTCATCAACCGGCGAGTGAAGGAACTGCCTTTCTATCAGCTGAATCCGATTTGGTGCAGACCTCAGCAATCAATGTTACTTTATTGACACCCACTTTTATGAGGCACATACGTCAATATTTGAATTTTTCACCTTTTACATTACGCATTTAGCGTTTATCTTATGATGTGTGGCGCCGTGGTTATTATGCTGAAATCCATCACGGCTGTTTTGTGGTGAGGAATCTCAACTTGTTAAAGGTCCCCATATGGTGGAAATCCATTTTTTATTGTGCTTTCCGCGGAGGTGTAAAATAAAAGCTGTGAGAATGTGAAGATGCTCACTAATGCTGTTCTTCTAGACCTGTTTAAAGCAACAACCTCCCAGCTTTACAAGCCACTAGGTATTTCATCCAGTTTCCACAAAGACACCGGGTGACCAATATTCGCCAAGCTAAAATTTGCATAATCCTGCCACTTCACCGCCCGCTGCTTCTGAGGTGAGCCGTGTAGAATTAACAGCTGCCTCACAGTCCACCAGGTTTATTTACTCTCTGGAGCCACTGCTGCTAATCTGAGCTGGAGCAAAGTGGGCCAAATGCTGTGTGCTGCAAGAGTGAACACAAGAGTCTTCATGAACTTCCAGCATCTAAGAAACTAAAGATACTTTTTAAAAAAAATAAATTTTTGGTGGCAATGTCACCACAGCATCAGAGTGTTGGCACATTGCACAGCTAATGTGGCTAACCATTAGCTTTGATGGGATGCCTTCAGGTCCAAGTTCTGTGGAAATTTTAACCCTGAAAGATATTTAGAAATGAGTCAGAACACTTATGTTTTCTTAACACTAAACACTGTTTACTTCTCTCTGTGCTCACATATACCGTAATATTTGGACTATAAGCTGCTACTTTTTTCACACGCTTTAAACCCTGCAGCTTAAACAATGATGCAGCTAATTTATTTAAGAGTTTTACGAATTTGCCTCGAGACGAAAGTGACATTGAGAGTGACAATGAAAGAGAGACTGAGGAAGTGTGTGATGAAGTAATTCTGAGGCTGATCGACACTGAAGAAGATGACATTAGTGGTTTTAGTGCAGGAGGAAGATGAAGATAGCATCAATGACTTTTCCTGGTAGGCTGCTGTATTTTTAAATTCTTTTAACCAGCCGTGTTACAGGCACTGATCGGAAAAAAGCATTTATGGTACGTATTTGTGTATATTACTGGTATGTATTTAATTAAAAGTTAAAAAAATCTTTCTGTGTTAATATCTCATGTTACTACGTGGACACCTGCGGCTTATAGACAAGTTAGTGGGTGAGGCTTATATTCAGGTGCGCTCATAGTCCGTAATTTACGGTACTATATTTTAACACAGCCGAATTCCCAATAAAACTGCTCCCATTTACATTTTTTCTGGTTCTGTTGTCAGACAATGTACCAACTATGAAACAGCGACTGCCTAATGACACCACATGTTAACCAGCAGTCATTTCCAAGCTGCTGCTTTGCACCGTTAAGCAACCGATTTTATACCCCTGACATCAGAAGTTGGAGATATTTCAATGTAAAATGATCACAGAGAGAGAAAGTAAGAAATGATTGTAGATCCTCATCTCACATATTTATTCATGCCTGTTGGCTGCCATGCGATCTGTCAATCATAGATGCAGAGAGAGTCTTCTTCCTGAAGAGGGCAAGGACAGAATCAGCACCAGCAGCAGCTCAGCAGCATAAAACCAAGGGGTTGTACAGTCATGGTGAAATACATTTTAGAATTATTTTTGAGCTAAAAAGAAATTTGAAAGACACATTCTGGGGGACGCGAGAGACTTTAATTAATTTGCTGAGAAGGGGAACAATATGGGACCTTAAAACGCAACACAAAGCACAAGGACAAGTTATTGCAGAGCAGATGGCGAACGCACAGGTGCTACGGTAAGACTGAAATCAGATTTGCAAATTCTAAAATAGCCGTAACGAGGCGGATGCACAGTTTTTAGCAGAACATACGATCCCTGTCATCTGCATCGAGAACATCGAGCCGGCTCAGTCCGACCGACTCCTCCAATCTCACACTCTATTGGAGAGGTGCAGAGGTGAGCTACTCGGATGAAGAAGAAGAAATTTTCCCGGTTGTCTGAGCAAACCCCACCGCACCGCTTCCTGAGACGAGACACCCGGGTCACCCGTCTTGAGGGAGAGAAAGACGGAGCGGTGGAAAGAGCGAAAGAATCAGAGCGAGGCGGACGGACAGAAAACGGGTTGAGGGGTGATTGAGAACGGAGACGGCGAGAAACGAAGAAAGCCAAAATGGGAAAAAAAAAAAAAAAGAGCCCCCGCGTTCTAATCTGATATCCGACCGGTTTGTGCCTCCGAGCAGAGCCATGACATCCAGGGAGAGGAGATGTGATTGAGCTCACGGTCAAGCTCAAATCTCCTGCCCATGTGTGACCGAGAAAACAACTGGCAGGCCTGCGGAGAGGACAGAGGAGGAGGGGAGGGTTGCCGCGGTGATGCCACAGGGGAAGGCGATGTGACCCTGAAGGCTGAGTTTATACGCATGGTCCAGCTTCGGCTCATCATCCCCACCCTCCCTCGCCTCCGTCCTTTCTGCCCATTTGGAGGCAGAGAGTAACGGAAATCACTCCCCCAGAACCGGTGACACTTTTTAATGACATGTCAGGGCAGAATGTCGCAGCACTGCTGAAAAAAACTCCGGAAACGGAGGGGGTGGGGTGGGTTGGCGGGGTAGGGGGGAGGAAAAAGCTTTAAGCCTTGAGCTAAGTTTGTGTGCGTTTGCATTCATCGGCGCTGTGCGTGCCTTTGTTGGTTTGTGTGTCTGTGCATGTGCCGTGGGTTGTAAGCTGCAGGCTATAGAGTGGAAAAGTGGCATATTGAAGGCGCTGGGTAAATAATATGCAATTTTCTCCCTCCACTATGCTGTCACTAACAACCGATGGCACCAGGAAACGGGGCCCGGACATCGCTTAGAGACAGAGGGAGGGCATTTGAGCGTTAATAATGGTTTGCTATGAGACACAAAGCCGCCGAATGAAAGTGGAGAGCTGTTTCAGTTTTCTTTGATTGAGTATCATTGAAGGTGTGCCACCCTGCGAGCGTCTGTATACGTCTGTCTGTATACTTAAGTGAAAAAAAAGGGAGTTAGCGACGCTTCAGTAGAGAAAGAAATACATTTCAGCTGAGGAGCGTTGGGGGAACGTATGGATAAAAGAACTCATTATTAGACAACAAATGAATTTTAATAATTAATTCATGTTTCAATCAAATAACTGAACGTTACTGGAAATGTGCTTATTTGCTTAGAGCTGGATGAGAAGACTGATGCTCTCTTAAATACAAAGCGAGCTGTGATGTTACTGAGATGTACCATCATCTAATATTCAAATCAGTTCATCCATCTATCCGTTATCTATACGCCGCTTAATCCTCACCTGGAGAGAACCCACAGGCGTCCTAACCGGGAATCTTCCAACTGTGAGCTGACGGTGCTAACCACTGAGCCACCGTACAGTCCCAAATCAATTCAGCTCAATTCCTTCACATAGTGCCAAGTCACAATATATGCCATATCTAGGCACTTAGCATAGTAAGGTGAAGACCTCTCAGAAACCCAACAAACCCAAAGTTTTCCTTGGATTCCTTCTGAGCAAACACTTGGCAAAGGGAAAGAAAACCTAACTCATCTTAGTGATCAGGCCTTTTATTTACCTTAAGAAAGTGACTCTTCTATTTAAAAGAGTCATGTATTGGAGGTAGGTTGAGTCTAAATCTCTTTATTTATTGAGTAGAATTTGGCATATTTAAGTCTGAAGAACTGAATCTGCTCCTCATCTGTTTAAGTTGCTTTTCTATAAAAACAATGACGCGGTTTGGATTTTTTTTTTTTT